CACTATGTGTTTAGAGGTACCAAGCCATATACATTTATGTTCTTTATATATTGCATTTACATAACTTTATATTTATCTATTAAAAATGTATGTTTCAACTTATGTTGAGGGAGTACAGTGCTGAAGATTGAATTCAGGACCTTACACATGCCATGTAAGTACCCTATCATCAAGCTTCAGCTCAGACCCCAAATTTTACTTTTAAAAACCAGGCAGTGGTGGCACAAGCCTTTAATCCCAGTACCTTGGAGGCAGAGGCAGGCAGATCTCTGTGAGTTTAAGGCCAACCTGGTGGGGGCAAGTTCCAAGACAGCCTTCAAAGCTACAGAGTAACCTTGTCTCAAAAAACAAAACAAAACAAGTCAGTACTACCTGGGCATAGTAAACACATATCAGTTTGGAATCCTGGGATTTGTGAGATGAGTCAGAGAACTGTCCAAAGTTTGAGACCAACCTGGACTTCATAGTGAACTGCAACCCATCTGGGTTAAAAAGAGTGAGGCCAAAAAGCAGTAAGAACAAGTTCAGAAGCTATATGCACAGCCTCTGTGGAGCACTGTGAGGGTTCTGCAGTGCACAAAAGTGAATATCAATGTATGACAACAGCCAGATGGGGGTTTTGTGCTTTTCCACTGCCTAACAGAAAGTTGGTGCAAAACTCTAGTATGTGTGGTAGGTAGGGTTTTAGCAATTAAGTCAAGCTAATGCCAAAGACAACACCCCCAATATACCAACATTAAGGAACACATGAATTCCTTAGTGTGTAACATCTGATCCTTAGCTTTGCAGTTTTTATTACATTGTATATTTTTAAGAGGCCCAGGAACTTTTCATCTCTCCAGCTACCTAGGGGGTAGCACCTGGTACCCATAGAAGTCAGTCACACTGAACTGTTACCAAGTCTCATATGCCCTACTTGAAACCTGACAAATTCCTATTCTAGTATTTTATAGTTAAAGGTAACCTTGTAAACAAAGTTATCTTTTAAATCAATTGTTATGCAAAACCAAATGTCTTGTCTAATTTGGAAGTCATATAACCAATACAACAGAAAACAAAGCCCAAGCTCTAAAATATTACTGTCCTTGTAACATACTATCTTGTATATGGTTCACAAGACCTTCTTTTTTTTTTTTTTTTTTTTTTTTGGTTTTTCGACACAAGGTTTTTCTGTAGCTTTGGAGGCTGTCCTGGAACTCACTCTGTAGACCAGGCTGGCCTCGAACTCACAGAGATCTGCCTGCCTCTGCCTCCCGAGTGCTGGGATTAAAGGCGTGCACCACCAAAGCCCGGCTCACAAGACCTTCTTAACCTGAGTCAGAATTCTTTTCTGGGACCCTGCTGCAAGTTGGTTTGCTTTTGGTTTCAGTCAAAATTAGGTCTTACTGAGTTGTTTTTTTTTACATTCTCGAAAATCTTGAAATGAAATCCTAGTAAGAAGTAGAGACAGAGTGCCTAACTAAACATCTGAACTATAGCAAGAAGCAGGTTAATGAAATAGAGAAGGCTGTCTTTTATCTGACTACTATGTATGTCTCAGGACTGTCATTCAGACATTCTGAACTTGTGTTCCCAGGCCATAGATGGAATTAGTTCTATGCCCCAGCCACTGAAGTTTCTACTATACATTCTTTTTGGTATAGACCACAAGTAAACTATGGCCTCTACAAACCTGTGGGTTGTCCATTTCTTTTTTCCTCCCTCCAAATATCAATGCATTAGACACTTACCACAGGTATATCATTTTTACAAAAAGACACAGCCAGACTGACTAACTTGAGAAATCTGAAGGGCTGATGTGCAGTGTACATGCCCACTAGGTGAATTTAGTTACTTTAACTGCAAGGATTAAGTAGACTTCTGACTTGTGAAGACAGCCTTTGGCACATGTCATAAAGTAGTAGGGTGTAGCCGGGAGTTGATGGCGCACACCTTTAGTCTCAGCACTTGGGAGGCAGAAGCAGGCGGATCTCTGTGAGATGAGGCCAGCCTGCTCTGCGAAGCTACACAGAGACACCAGTCTCAGAAAACAAAACAAAACAAAACATCTTGGTCCCCAGAGATACACTACTAAAAGATACAGGAATCTTGGTGCAAGAATTTTTAACAGGTAAGGCCTAGTAGGAGTCCAGTCTTCTTTGCTCTCTGGCATTCAATGAGAGGTTAAGTGGTTTTCTACAATATACCAAACTGAGAGCCAAAATATACCTTTTCTTCTCACCCCCTTTTTCTTTCTTTTTGAGAGAGGATTTCTCTATGTATCCCTGGCTGTCTGGAACTCTCTATGTAGACCAGCTTATCCTCAAACTCAAGAGATCTGCCTCCTGTCTCCCGATTGTTGTGATTAAAGCTGTTTACCACTAAATCAACTTAAACCCTTTCTCTGTATGAGTTCATTACCTTAGGTATTTGTCACAGTGATGGAAAACATATACTCTTTCCAATCCTACAGAGAAAGGATGGAGACTCTCAAAGGGCTGGCACTCAGCAGCCTATACACCACACACTGTACTATCTGGCTGGGACACTTACTTCTGAGACTACAGTGGCCACAATTAGCATCCACAGGAGGCATAGCCAGGGATGCCATGGTGCAGAGTTACCTTGCAGAGGCCCTGAAAGGTTTTCTGAGGAAAGGCACTGCACTGTCTTCCTTCCCACGGGACCTCCTGGGATTGTACTACTGAAGGCCACATTCAGGTTAACATCTTTCAGAGACAACCACATATCTGTGTTTTTTAAAAAGCACTCTAAATACCGTTAGAGCAGGAAATCACACTAGTAATCAGGAGATGGCTTGATCTCCAGCCCTGCTCTAGGCAGGATCACTCTCTCTAGGAGCAAGTGTTCTGTTTTGAGGCAAATTTAGTGTGGTACCCTATGCTAGATGAAAGGAAATACATGGCTTATTAAGTGTAAACAATGAATTGAGGGTCCTTCAGTCCAGCTCAATACAATTCCATGTTTACAATCTTTGACCAACAGGTCTTAGCCAATTACTTAGTAATCTTTAGCCCTCCAATCCATAGTGGTGAACCTGTTCAGGGGATGGAATAACACAAGTCTTTCACTGTCGTGTCGTCCGTCCGTGCCCGTGCCCCTGCCCCCCCCCCAACTTGACATACATGAAAAATGCTTGTTAAATAATTGACAAAAAATCTCATTAAGCAAAGAACTACCTGTTGCATACTAGGAACAAAAAAGTTGCCTAATTTGTAAAAACACTATAACCAGAGCTCCAGAGCCGTGTATCTGCTCATCTCAGCAGCAGTTCTGGGAGGCAAACTGACTCCAAACACACTACTAATGGCAGAATAGTAATGTCATGTTCTCCTCACAGTTGGGTCACATTGAGGAGAGCCTGACCTGGTGAACTGCCAACCCAGATAAAACAACTCAATCTACATGCTTACTACTGAGAAAGGTGTTCCAAGTGGGCTTCAGCAAAGGTGGATCGGTAACAAGCACAGCTTCTGGGAAACTGCTTTCTCTAGAGACAGAGTCTCACAATGTAGTCCCGGCTGCCCTGGAACTCACTATGTATACTCAGCCAGCCTCCAATTCAGAGATCCTCTAGCCCCTGCTTCCCAAATGGGAGGATTAAAGGTGTGGTGTCCCATGCCCAGCTATGGGGAAACTACTTTTAGCAAAGCAGATCCTATGTTGATGTCTAAGTTCTATTATGCCTGCTTAAAATCCTCATTCATGGCTTCAATTATATAGCAAAAAATGTCAGCATTATTGATAAACACCACTCCAAAGTGACTTAAGCTCAACCCAAAACTCTGATAGGACCTTGAGATGGTCCGTAGATGACAAGTTATCTCTTTAAAAATGAGCAAGGCAAGAGCTTACCTGTTGAGTGTTCTGAAGTGAGTCCACAAAGTTCTCTTTAAATGTTTTAGTATTCCCCACCTACAACTGGAGAGAAGTTTCAGGCTTTGGGACATATTGAACTGGTTCCAGAACTGGCTGGGATTCATAAGTGCTCAGATCAAACGCATTCTCCTCTCAGGGGCTGGGAAACGGGAATTAGCCTAGGGGTTGAGAATCTCCACCCCTGCCTTGGGATAGGTTATGTGGAGATGAACCAAATGCCCTCTTTCATTATCCCCAAATAGGTCTGAAGAATTACCTACTCTTACAAGTAAGTGCTAAACAGAACTCATTTAAAGTTACTATTGTGTCCGGTAAACTCAGCTGTCAATGTATACGGGGAAAACTACATTTCCAGCAGTAGCGAGACTGTCTTAGTTTAACTTCTTTCCAGCACTACAATTGTTTGGCTATTTTACGCTAAAGACTCGGTGTCTCTGAGCTCACAGTTCAAGAGGTGAGGAGGTTATACTTCCTAAGAGATCGAGGCCTCTCGGGGCACAGTGGGTACGTCCAACCTGTGCATACTTGAAGTTGCGAGAGCATGTTGCAGGAGGCTCCAAAGAGCTCAAAGTTCCCCGTAGAGCCCGTCGACAGACAGTTCAGGCGAGCCTCCTTCCGAGCCAACCTGCGTACTTCACTCCCCTTTGTAGGCGGCGAACATGTGCCACGCCGAGTGGCCCGGAAGAGAAATGACAGCTTCAGAAAACCAACTTCACCGAGGCAGACCGCGGCGCGCTAAGGCGCCAGGACGTCCCAGGCCGCAGCGGGCTCGTGCCTGCCCGCTGTCCCGGGCCGCGCTTCGACCCGCGGCTGCGCACAGCCGGGGGCGCGCCCGAGCTCGGGAGGCGGCGCCGGGCTCCCGGGCCTCGCTCCCGCCGCCGCTGGGGCGGCCTCCTTCTTACCGCCCGCCGGCCCCGCTTACCTCAGCGCGAGGACGGGAGGCGGCCACGGCTCCGCTGGGATGGGAGCAGCGTGGACAGGACGTTCCTCGACCTTTCCGCTTCTCACTGGCTCTGGCTTCAGGCACGACGCGGGCGGAACAAACGGGCTCCACTACCCGCGGGGGCCGGCCATTGTGCGACGTCATCAGGTCGCGACGGCCGTACTGCGGGCCGGCGGGCTTCCCTCGCTAGCCCCGCCCTCCTCGCGCTTCCTTCCGGACTCTGGAGCTCCGCCTCCGTGGCGCGCGCTCACAAGTCTCCGCTACTGCGCACGCTCACCGAGGTCGGCCGACCTCCTAACGAGCCATCTAGCGGCGCGTGCGCAGACTCTCTGGATTTCTGGTGGTGGTTTCCCGGGATGGGGATAGGCTGGCAGCGGGCGGATCGTGACCCGAGTAGGGAAAGCCCTTTGAGGCTCTTGGTCTGCGCGTGTAGACACTCTAGTGCCTCAAAACTTGGGATACGTCTTTGTCAGGCGAGAATCTCCTGTCTTACTAACTGTCAGTGCTTGACCAAAAGTGTTTTGGAGTGTAGCTCTGAAGTAGAAACAGCACCTGGCAAGTATGCTCGAGGTCCTGGTATTCCCCCCACCCCTTCCCAAGGAATATTTGAAGATATCTGTAGAGTTTAGAGTGGCGCTAAATATTCTTGATTTCGTTAAACATGATTAACATGACCCAGTGGAATCCCCCTAGGGCGGATTTAAGCTGTTGAAACGTTTTTACTGTCCTCTACCTCCTTACTCAGCAGGGCTCTGTTGCTGCTGCTGGCTGAAACCCCCTCATCACTACTGACAAAGGGTAGCGAGGTCATTGAGTGCTGGCCCCCTGCAAATTTTGGAGCTGTTCTTGGGTTTACATGCTTGGGGGCTGCATGTCTTCCTCTGACAACCTCAAGGTGAAAACAGCCCAGATGCTCATAAAGAAACTGTTCTAACAGCGGAACATTAATTCAGCCACAGAAAGCAGTGAAGGTCTGACACATGCTATAAGCACAGAACCTTTAAAAGGTGCTTGAGAAAAGCCAGTCATGAAACCCAAGCGGCAGAGTGCTTGTGAGGGATTTTTCTTGATTGAATCATTTGAAGTGGGAAGACCCACCTTTAATCTGGGTCTTTTGAGATGAAAGGACCCGCCTTTAATCTGGATCTTTTGAGGTGAGGAGACCCACCTTTAATCTGGGTCTTTTGAGGTGAGGAGACCCACCTTTAATCTGAATCTTTTGAGGTGAAAGGACCCACCTTCAATATGGTTTTTTTTTTTTTTTTTTTTTTTTTTTTACACGAGACAGGGTTTCTCTGTATTGTTTTGGAGGCTGTCGGTCCAGCCCGGCCTCGAATTCACAGAGATCCGCCTGCCTCTGCCTCCCGAGTGCTGGGATTAAAGGCGTGCGCCACCACTGCCCAGCCTCAATCTGGGTTTTTTGAAGTGAGGAGACCCACCCTTCATCTGGGCCACACCTTTTGGTGGCAGCCTATGTAAAGGACATGGAGGAAGGAAGCCTGCTTGCCCTCACTCTGGCAAGTCCATTTGTTCACTGGCATTAGGGCCTACTTCAGGATTTCAGTGAATACTGACGACCAGTTGAGACATCCAGCCTTGTGGACTGAATCCAGCGCACTGGATTCTTGGACTTTCCATTGGTAGATAGCCATTGTTGAATTAGCTGGGCCACAGCATGCATGCATATATAGATCCAGATAGATCTTGAATTTCCCTACTGTTCTCTATGTTCACCCCACTTCTTGCCTGAATTAATACTAAAGATCCTCCTTCTCACTCCTGGGGACTGTCCTATGCAGTCAGAGCCACATTTTATAACTCAATTTCAGTCACCTCCTTGATGGCTTGAGACTTCTCCAGTGACTTCTTTAGCCATCAGATAAAACCTAAAGTAATGCACTACCTTTCCTATGACCCAGTGCTCCCAACCCATCTCTCTGGCACTCATGTCTTCTTTCCTGGCCCTTCAATTTGCAATCTAAATTTCTCTGTCCCCAGGTGTGCAGGACAGTTTTATGTCAACTTGACACAAGCTAGAGTCATCAGAGAGGAAGGAACCTCAACTGAGAAAATTCTACCATAAGACCCAGCTTCTCCTGGTGTTGGTGGCACAACCCTTTAATCCCAGCACTGGGGAGGCAGAGGCAGGAGGATCTCTGTGAATTTGAGGCCAGCCTGGTCTGGGGAGGGCCCAGCCCATGGTGAACAGTGCCATCACTGGGCTTATGGTCCTGGGTTCTATAAGAAATTCAGGCTGAGCAAGCCATGAGGAGCAAGCTAGCAACCAGCGCTCCTCCATGGCCTCTGCATCAGCTCCTGCCTCTGGTTTCCTGGTGTGTTTGAGTTCCTGTCCTGACTTCCTTCGATTGTGAATAGCAATATGGAAGTGTAAGTCAAATAAACCCTTTCCTCCCCACTTTGCTTTGGTCATGGCGTTTCTCTCAGCAATAGAAACCCTAAGACACCAAGTCTTTACATGGGCCTCTCTAACTACCTGAATTTCCTTTGCCTGATTGACATTTATTCATCCTTAGGTCTTAGTAAGACTGGTTTTCTTTCCAGACACACTGGGTCTAAGTGCCACCTGCATGTGCCTACCACTTAGTCCTGCCAATCAGGGTATGTGCTTGGCAGTGTGTTCCATGCCAGAAATACTGGAGGTCTCTGTTTAACAGGCCCAGGTGATTCTGATGTTCAGAGCATGTGAGGCTCCAATAGGCATGGACAAGAGTAGTCAGAGATCTTACATTCACAACTGGAAAAATAAAGGAAAAATCCTGGAAATGACCCAAGTATTTATCAAAAGACATTGCAATATTGTATCTAACATTATACACTACTTACAATGTTGCAATGATTAAAAATTATATGAATCTTGAATACATAAAGGTAATATTTGGAAGTAGGGGTGAGGCTCAAAAATGATATTGAACAGGAAAGAGCAGAAGCAGAGCCACTGGAGGTGCCACTTACTGGCTTGTTCCTATGGTCTGCTCATCCTCCTTCCTTATAGCACCCAAGACCACCTGCACAGGGTGGCACCTGTCTTGGTGAAATGAGCCCTCTCGAGTCAGCCATTAATCAAGAAAACCCAATACAAACTTGTCTACAATCTGATGGAGGCATTTTTTCAGCTGAAGTTCTTCTCAGATAACTCAAGCTTGTGTCAAGTTCACAAAAACAAAACCAATTAACTAGGACAATCATGTTCACATAAGATTAGAATCATGAATATTTTTGGAGTTGTGGAGCAAGTGAAACACACATACTGCCACTAGGGGTTAAATGGTCTAGCCATTTTGGAAGGCAAGAAACATCAGTATGAACAGGAACAGTGGTGCATGCCTATGATCCAAGTACTTGGGAGACTTCAGGAGGAAGATGAGTTCAAAGCCAGCCAGGAGTGAATCTCTTGCAAACAACACAGGAAAAATATCATAATGAATGCCAAGAAAAATGCCTGAAGCCAGGCGGTAGTGGCACACACTTTAATCCCAGCACTCTAGGCAGAGGCAGGTGGATCTCGGTGAGGTGGAGGCCAACCCGGTCTACATAATGAGTTCCAGGACAGCCAGGACTGTTACACAGAGAAACCCTTGGCCCCCCCCCCAGAAAGAAAGAAAGAGAAGGAAGGAAGGAGGGAAGAAAGGAAGATAGATGCCTGAAAAGGCAAAAGTGCTGACATAGTTGCCTCTTGAGAGTGGGAAGGAAGAGAGAGATATTGGTTTTTTTAAATTGTGGCCTATACTGTGACAATGTACAAGTGTATGAAGTGTACATTTTGAGTTTTGTCAATTGTACACCAAACAATCCCACCTGGCTGAAAATTGTTCAGCCTGTTGCCACGTGTGGCACACGTCTCAGGACATGAGGCATGGAGTCGGGAGCCTGGGTCTTGCCGGTCTAACAACATAGACTCAGCCACTCCCTCCTAACGGCCCAATTCAACAGACAGATGATAGTGAAGAGCAGAGAAAAAGATTTGTTTAATGTGGTTTGGAGTTCTACCTGTTGTCTACCTGAACCCCAAAGGAGGGAATGTTGGGAACTGTAGGACTCACTTCCTGCTCCCCTCACTCCAGGGTCATGGGCTCCCAGGCCTAAAATGTTTCTCTGTACATTCTCAAGACATGCATGGACATATCCATGAATGTTTGCCCAGCCCTTACTGAGTCTGTAATGTTAAGGGTATGTGAAAAGCATTTTTGTCAGAAGGTAGCATTTGAGAAATGACAGCTTTGCTGATTCTTCATATGGCCACCAGAGCGCACCAGAGTAGTACAATTCTGGTTATAGGGTTCTTGCCGGCCAGCTTGTTAAAAGGACTTACTCAGAATATGTGGGACCTCCACTTCTGAGGTAATGAGTAAGAGTCAGGCTGGATTAGCAGGGGGCCTGCTCTCTGAAGTGGATGGGTTTATCAGCTGTTAGCTTTAGGGCTTGGTCATCCTCTATGCCCAGCTGTGATCCCACCTACCCTTTACAAGGGTCTAACCCCAGGGAGGTTGGACAGAAGATTCCCCAGACCTCTAAGCTTCTGCTGACCTTTTCTCTCGCTTCTGCATTGCAGGGCTTCAGCCACTGGCTTGTGTGAGCCACTGACTGAGCAAAAGGACCTATGTTGGGCGACCTCCTACCCATATTCAGAAGTTTATCTATGCGGGTTTGCATGTAACGTAGCACATGCTGGCCTTGAACTCACCATGTTGCCAAACCTTAACAAGTTTCTGGGATTACAGGTATGTGCCAGCATACCTGTTCTTTTTTTATATAACGTATTTTTTTTTATTTTACTTGCATTGGTGTTTTGCCTGCATGCATATCTCTGTGAGGGTGTTAGACCTAGGAGTTACAAACAGTTGTGAGCTGCCATGTGGGTGCTGGGGCTTGAACCCAAATCCTCTGGAAGAACAGTCAGTGCTCCTAACTACTGAGCCACCTCTCCATCCCCCCAACATGCCTGTTCTAAATGGTCCTGGAGATTGAACTCAAGGCGTCAAGCATTCACTAGGCAAGCACTCTACCAAACTTAGCTGCATTCCCCCAGCTCCAAATAATTTCATAAAAATAAACTTGAGATTATCAGGAAATTACCTATATGTATATTTTTGTACCTACAAACCTGCGTCATATAAAATTTTCTTGTTCTGTCAGAAATCACAAGCAGAGTTTTAAAAGTTCCCTCTCCACCTCTCCATAGGCCCAAGACAAAGGGCTAGTGTCTGTCCCATAGCTCTGAGCGTTATGGCTGAGTCAGTGGCTATTTTCTGGGTAACAACTGTGAACATCTTCCCGGTCCATTTGGAAGTATGTTGTTGGAGGCTCCAGGTCAAATGCAGAAAGTGAATTGTAAGGATGTACTCACCAAGGCTCCAGTGATGGGCTACATAAGACAGATGCACACGGGGAAATAAAGTTGTCAGCATAGACACAAGGCAGACTGGCATGCTTAGAAACTTACATTTGGAGCCGGGTGGTGGTGGTTTACACCTTTTAATCCCAGCACCCGGGAGGCAGAGGCAGGTGGATCTCTATGAGTTTGAGGTCAGCCTGGTCTACTGAGAGAGTTCCAGGACAACCTCCAAAGCTACAAAGAAACCCTGTCTCGAAAAACAAACAAAAGAAACTTATATTTGGGTGGTGGCCGTATTAACAGAGATTGGGCTGACTTGTGGAGGAAGAATCTGTTGAAGACTCTGCAGTCAGCTGTAAACTGGTTTTGTGCTGTGTGTGGCCAGCTTCCCCAAAACACATCCCTGTTTCTCATTTTACTGTGGGCTGCTGGGCTCAGCAGGTGGCTCTTCTCCACATGATAAAGCCAGGATGTCTGTATGGGCCTTGGCCTGTCTGCGTGGCCTCTGCAGCAGAGTAGCTAGGCTCATAACGGCTCTTCTGGGTTCCAGAGAACACAGAAAGCTGCCAGGCTTTGAGGCTTATTACCATTTCCCCTACATTCGGGTGTTCTTGTGGAAGGGTGTGAGCACCACGGATAGGTTCACTGGACACCTATTGTTAAAATTCCTTCCTGGGAGAGATGTAAACAATGCTAGCCCCTCCCGCTAAGCTCTCAACATACTGAGTTATGATTACATTAAAGATCATTCTGGGGAACCAGTGAATTTACTAGGCTTCCTTTGAGAGCATAGATGACAGGCTATTTACTGGCATGTTAGTGCTTTTCCCTGTAAAAGGCCATGGCAGAAAGTCTGTCTAGCAGGGATGATGGATTTCCCATAGCTGCATTGATGGAGCACTCTCAGTCTTCACGCTGACAAACTCTAGTTTCTCCCTGAGGCCACATGCAATTTAGGGCAAAATTGCATATAATAGGCAGCATGGAGTGGCTGGACATTCAGGTGAGGGTCCCATGACCCTCCCTATAGGGAGAGATCACATACCTGCAGCACTGACCACACCCCTTTGGGTGTGGTCACAGGTACGGGGAGGGGGGAAATCAGGGATAAAAGAAGGTACAGGAGTGCCCCCACCCCTTGGATCCCAGCCGAGGTTCGGAGACCATGGAGCGCTGACCTGGTTCTCAGCTTCTCATGTAAGTGATTTCTCTCTCTCTCTCTAATAAAGCTTCTTAGACCTGTAGCCTGAGCTTCTGTCTCGCCAGGTCCTGCGGCCCTTCCGCCCCCAATAAGCACACAGAGACATATTAATTATTAAACTGCTTGGCCGTTGGCTAAAGCTTTTTACTGGCTAGCTGTCTCTTAATTATTAACCAATTTCTATTAATCTATGTATTTCTACCTGCTCTTGGCTTACCTGGTAATGCCCCGGGAATGTTACTCCTGCTCTACATGGCACCCCCTGGCAGCCTCTCTCTGCATCCTCTCTCCTGCACTCTCCTCATCTGGTAACCCCACCTATACTTTCTGTCTGGCTACTGGCCAATCAGTGTTTTATTCATCAACTAATATGAGAAACATACAGAAGGACATCCCCCATCATCTCCTCTTTTCTGTCTAAATAAAAAGAAAGGTTTTAACTTTAACATAGTAAAATTTTATATAACAAAACAGTTATCAAGTAAAAACTATAGTTAATAATATTTAGTTCATTAACATTTGGCAAAATTTAAAGAAAATATTCTATCTCATCTTTGTGAGTCTAATTTTTTGTTTGTTTTTTCTGAGACAGGGTTTCTCTGTGGCTTTGGAGGCTGTCCTGGAACTAGCTCTGCAGACAAGGCTGGTCTCCACTGCTACCAATGCTCCATACCATCCTCACAGTCCTTGCTGAATCCATTTCTTTCTTAGGTCTCCCGTGAGATAGTCTTGTCAGAGCCTGTGAACTGGGCACCCAGCACCACTTCCCCCATGCCCGGGTCCCTTAGAGGGGCATGGCCTTTCACTGTTTCCCAGTCCCTGACATTCAGGCAGACCGTAGATACCGAAAGATAACCAGACATCCCCAGTGGCTCCTATGAGTCAGTCCACCGGGGACTGATCCCCTCACATTGCCCTATATTGTGAAGCTTTTGTCTCAAGGAGGGATGGGTGGTCACCTTGCTCAGCTTCTGCTTCGGCAGCACTCAGGCTGATCTGTCTGCCCCATGTCCCACAGCCTCACAAAGCCACGTGACAAGGGGTTCCTGCATTGTTTGTTTGGAAGTCTCCCCTAGTTCCCACAGCTTGCTGTGGAATATTATTGTAACTAGGCAAAGACGTGTTACACTTGCTTGTGAAGCAGAATATTACTTTAACTATGTAAAGGTGTGTTACTTTTGTCTATGCTGCATTTGTTTAACTATGAAAAGAGGTGTTACGTTTGCTTTACCTTGCCTGCCTAAGAACCCTGATTGGTCTGATAAAAAGCCGAACGGCCAATAGCTAGGCAGGAGGATCAGCGGGGCTGCCAGGCAGAGAGCATAAACAGGAGAAGAACAAGAAGGAGACAATGAGGGACATGCCTGGGGCCAGAAGCCAGGCAGCCATCACCCAGCCAGCCAGACACAGAGACAGTAAGAAAGTAAGAAAAGGTGAGTCCTGAGACAAAGGGGGCTTTATATAAAGAGAAACAGGTTAATTTAAGTTGAAAGACATAGCCAGAAATGTGCCTAAGCTAGGCCGAGCATTCAAAACCAGTCTAGTGAGTGTCTATGTCAAGATTTTGGAGCTGGTTGGTAGCCCCCCCAGAAAAAGCCTGGTACAGTCATTCACTATTCTGATTCCCTTAGTCTTCCACATCTGACCATTGTTAAGGCTTCTGCACACCGGAGCACAGATTTTTTTCCTTTCGCTATATTGGGGGTTGGACCCAAGGAACGTCTTCTATCACTGTTAGGTTGTTCCCTCCCCACAGGTTCCAGGTTCCAGAGTTCCAGGAGAGGCACTGTATTGCTGGTTTAATATGGGCCTCTTCCCTCTGGCCCCTAACCATAAACACAAGGGACCAATATTATCCTTCTCTTTCATCTAACTTACTTGATAAGTCTCTGACCAACACTGCAGGGCCAGCCTCTTATCCCTTTCTCCCTCCAGGCTGCCACCTCAGCTTTGAGTAGATCTATGGGAGAGGCCAGGCTGCCTCTGCAGCTGTCTGCTGATATCTCCGTTCTTCATGGGCTTGTAATGCCTGTCCTCAGACCATCTCCACACTTCCTAGGTGACCCCCACCATCAAGCAGGTATGCCATTCCATACCACCTAGAAGACTACCGTCCTGAGATTTTCCCCACAGAACTCTCCATCACTTACACGGTTTCACCTTAGATGTCTCAATCTCCACCTTGTTGCCACTATCCTGCAAACCCTATATGGATATCTAACATGTCAAAATTTCCTGTGTAAACAACCTCTCCTCTCCTCCACATAACTTCATTTTTTTAGTTTGTCTCTTTCTCCTTCCCAGGGAGGAGAGGTAAACACTCCCCTCCTCTGAGGGTCCAGAGGATAAACTGAAGCACAATTCCACCAAAGCTCACTCTGGAGATCCAGTTTATTGGGCCTCCTTACAGAGCATAGGTGACTGGGTTATTTACTGGAATGTGGGTACTTTCTCCACCCCCAAGAGATTGTACTAGAAAGTCCTTACTCAGTTGGGATAATGGCTTTCTCAAAGTCATATAGATGGAGTCCTGCTCCTCCCACGGTCCCCCCAGGCCTATATACTCTAGCCCCTTCCCAGTCCACTTTCTCACAGACACTGCAGTTCATCCATGGGGCTCAGGTAGGAGCTGCAGTCCTATCTAGCCACTCCCCAGGTTCCTCTCTGGGCTCTTTGTCTTCTTCCTGTCAAATAGAGGATTGCTCTGCTGGCTAGTGGAGGTTTCTTGCCAGCCAGATAAATTCCTGGGACCACTCCCACCCAAGCTGAGCAGGAGACTGCATCCCTGCTTCCTCCTCCTGGGCCCCCTGCTGGAGAGGTCTAGGATGCTGATGTTGATGTAAACTGGCATTGGGGCTCTCAGCTCTGCAAAGGGAGGGTGAGAGGAGAGCTGAGGAGCCAGGAGAAGTTGGTAGAGCTGTGTGTGTGTGTGTGTGTGTGTGTGTGTGTGTGTGTGTGTGTGTGGTGCAGACCCGCATAATGTGTGATACTGCAGTCGGCAGAACATAAAACCTCCTTCCATGGAATGACTGAAGCTCAGGCATTCTCTCTCTCTCTCTCTCTCTCTCTCTCTCTCTCTCTCTCTCTCTCTCTCTCTCTCTCTCTCTCTCTCTCTCTCCTTCCTTCCTCCCTCTCTCTCCCCCTCCCTCCCTCCTTCCCTCTTTCCCTCCCTCTCCCTGTCTCTCCTCTCTCTCCATCTCTCCCTCTCTCTCTCTCTCCTTTCCCTCATTCTATGCTTCCTTCCTTTCCCTCTCCTCTCCTCCCTTTCTCCTTTCCCTCCTCCTCCCCATCCCTTCCTGACGTGAAAGAAGGAGAATGCATTGAGTCTTCGCTGGGTAAGTTCTCTGACCTTAGAAGTTTTCTTGGGGTGTAAGGGCTGCTGGAGGGGGCAGGGTCTGGCTGGGAGATGGCATACAGTGGCTCCCACGGAGGTTTCTGCAGAACAGGCATAGCAGTAGGTGACAGTCCTTGGAGACAAGGTGTCAGGAATGGACCTCTGCAGCTCTGGCTTCCACATCTGGAGGAGCTCTGTGAGGTCTCTGGATTCGGTCCTGGTTACCCGCTTCCTGATGACTGCAGAGAAAGAAGGATGCTGGGGTTGAAGCAGCTGCTAGGTCCTGCAGATCGTGTAGTGCTCTGCTTCAGCTAACAGGAAAGGGCTGGCTTTCAGTTTCCCAGCCATGTGGGGTAGACATGTCATGTATGTTTCCATGTGAGCATGTGAGAGTGAACAGTATATATGCCTAGACTGTGAAAAGTCAGCCTGTGGGGTGTGTGTGTGTGTGTGTGTGTGTGTGTCTGTCTGTCTGTCTGTCTGTCCTGTAATATGGGCACAGGGCATGCATGTCAGGGCTGAATGTCAAGTGTGTACACAGAGTGTGTATTGCACACACGTGTAAGGTTTGTAATGTCTGTATGGGCAGTCATTGTGGGTCAGGTACAATTTTTGGTTTGTATTTTTGTGTGTGCATGTGTATACCTGGATGTATGCTCAGCACAGGTGCATTGCATATGTGTGGGCACAGGAGCGTTGTGTGTGCATATGTATTGTGTGGGTACTGTGTGTATAGCTGTGTGTGACCTGCATCCCGTGTACAGCTGTGTATTGTGTGTGGGTAGCATCTGTGGAGGCACAGCTTCTTCATGAGTCCTGCCTTGTTCTGATGGGCTGGTCCCTGTCCTGGGGGTTGTCCCTGTCCTGGGGGCTGTAGTAGTGTTGTGGGGCTGTGCATCATGCTGAGCAGAAGTGGATAAGCACCTGGGTGAGGTGATCTGTTGCCTGCTCCAGGTCATTTCAGGGTTTATGCCATGCTGAGCTTTGCATGTGTTTGTATATCAATCACACTGAAAGGGAACAAGCGCTGAGGTGTGTGGGTGTGTAGGACTGAGTATGGTGCGTGATGTGTGTATATGTGTATCTGTTGAGTATGTTGTATTTTGTATACTGTGTGTGTAAGATGTGTTGTATATTATAAGGTGTGTGTGTCTGTTGTAGCTTGCCTTCTATTTGTATGTAGTGTGGTATTTGCCTGGAGTTTGCACTGTGTGTCACATGTGGCATGTATGTGTATGTGCACTCCAAGCTGAACCACATTTTGCTCCTGGGTTGGTGCCCACCCTATCTGGATCCCAGCACAACTCCTTTGTAGTCATCCCCAGGGAGCTGGTACTCCATGGTTCTCAGAACTCATACCACTTCCTCCACTTGGCCCTCTATGTCCTCAGCCTTAGACACTTGCATATCTGCAGGCAAACAGAGGTTCAAGGGCTGGTACAGCTGCTCTGGGCTTCAGGCTGGGCAGCTGAGCCCTCCCACACTCAATCGTAGGCTGGGACCACATCATGCGTTTTGGAACATTATAGAACTGCAGCAGCAGCAGCTGTACCCCAAGACAATTCTCCACATGGTGGCAGAACCATCCATCTCCCCATGCTGATGGCTGCTGTATTTCCACCTCCAGCCCTGACTCTGGAGCTGTCCTCGATGCTTCCCCATTCTGCACTGCAGTGGAGGGCAGTGCCTTAAACCCAGCCTCTAAATATGCATCCGCCTGACCCCTACATTGACTCCTTTCTTGGTTTTCCCATCTGAGCCCTGTTACAGCATCTCCCCACTCCCTATAGTCTGCCCTGATGCTATCTAACGCCCTGTCATGCTGTCTCCTGAGACCCTGATTTGTCCTTATCTCCTCCCCAGCTACTGCCTGGCTGAGCCCTGATCCCTCTTACCTGACTGTCAGCCTGCCTCCTCACCTCTGCCTGTGCCTCTACTGACTTTGCTGGGATCTGTGGGTCCTCTGAAACCCTTTTCAATCTGCATATTAGAGCACATTACTCCTTTGCTTAAAACCATTGGCAACTCCTACAAACAAACAAACCCTGGGCCTGTGAGACTCATGGGACTGTAGCTGGCCTTTTCCCTGCTTCCTCACTCAGCAGTGGTCACATAGTATTTATCCTGTAGCCATAATGCAATACATGCAACACTCTTCCCTGGAAAGAAGCTGCTGTTACCACCCACTAGACTGATGGGGAAACTGAGACTTAAGAGTTCTACACTATTTTTAAAGAGGGTTGGAAAAATGACTCAGCAGTTAAGAGCACTGGCTGCTCTTCCAGAGGACCAGGGTTCAATTCCAAGTACCCATATGACAGCTTAAAATTGTCTGTAACTCTAGTCCAGGGGATGTGATGCCCTCTTACAGCTTCCATGGGTATTAGGTACATGGTCATACATTCAGGGAAAACACACATGCACATAAAAAATAAAAAGGAAAAACTGAAATAATATTAAATAATAGACACAGATCATTTGCCAAGGTCAAGGCCGGGGACATTTTAGGCTTCACTGTTTCTACGCTCCTAGCATCCCTGAGAAGTAGGTGTCTGTCCTTCCTATCCACGGGTGGGTGTGCTGAGGCTTAGGGATGCTGCAGACTCAGCAGCGAAGCCTCCAGTTTTCTCAGCAGAGAGCCTGGCAGCGCATATAGTCCCCTCCAACTTCCATGGTGGGCTGTTTCCTGCATCCACACAGGAGAGGAAGCCTCATGGTGGCACCATTTACTGTTATTGGAGGAATGGCAACATACCATGCACACTCTATGACCTGCTCCAGTGAAGTTTCCATGCTACACAGCACCAGGTCTCTGAATGCAGTGTCCTGGACTGGTAGCTACAGATTCACAGATGCTATATAGTCCAGCCCAACCTCTGGCTGCCTCTCAGAGCTTCCTCTTCCTACCCCTCCAGGGCTGCAGGGCATCACAGAAAACGCCAGCAAGATGGACGGTCCCATTAATGTCTCACTGGTTCACGGGGATTCCACGCTGGGTCTGCCAGAGTACAAGGTGGTCTCAGTCTTCCTAGTGCTCCTAGTGTGCACTACGGGCATTGTGGGCAATGCCATGGTGGTCCTGGTGGTGCTGACCTCACGAGACATGCACACGCCCACCAACTGCTACCTGGTCAGCTTAGCTCTAGCTGACCTAATTGTGCTGGTGGCTGCGGGGCTGCCCAATGTCTCTGACAGCCTGGTAGGGCACTGGATCTATGGACATGCTGGCTGCTTGGGTATCACCTACTTCCAGTATCTAGGCATCAATGTCTCCTCCTGCTCCATCCTGGCATTTACTGTGGAGAGGTAAGTACCCACAGGTTACCCCATGTCTTCGTCCTTCCCATTGTCTTCCTGGATTCAAGCAGGGACTCCTGGTAAATTGAGGCTCCACTGAACATAAGGGGAGCTAAGCCAGTGTGGGGTTCCAGAAGAGCCAGCACACTGCTTCTGCCCTGCTTCTAGATTACTGTAGGGCACCAGGGAAAGTCTCTGACTTCCTCTGAGTCTGAATTTCCCATCTGGAACACAGGCACTTGGAAGGTCTTTCTCACCATCCCCCACTACTGGGCACTGAACCCTGGGTCTTCCACCCACTAGGCAAGCCATAGATCCAATCTTTTTTTTTTTTTTTTTTGGGTTTTCGAGGCAGGGTTTCTCTGTGGCTTTGGAGGCTGTCCTGGAACTAACTATTGTAGACCAGGCTGGTCTCGAACTCACAGAGATCCGCCTGCCTCTGCCTCCCAAGTGCTGGGATTAAAGGCGTTAGCCACCAACGCCCGGCCATAGCTCCAATCTTTAAAAAAAAAGTTAAACTTGAGACAGACTTGTTAAGGTTGACTATAAACTTGTGATCCTCCTGTCTCTGCCTCTCAAGAAACTGAAATAACAGGCCTGTGCTACTGTGCTCAGCAATGGTGTGTCTTTTGAGTCTTCTCCAGCTTGAATTTTTATTTGTTTGTTTGCTTGTTTGTTCATTTAATGAGACAGTGTTACACTATGAATACATACTTGGAATAGATACTTGAACTCTCTTTGTAGCTGAGGCTGACTCAAACTCATTGCAATCCTACTGCTTCGGCCTCCTGGGTTCTGGAATTCCAAGTGTGTACCACTATGTCTGGCTTAGCTCTGCTTGTAACACCCCAGAGACATGTTGATCCAAAGCCTGAATTTGGCATCAAACTCAGCTGCACCCATGGTAGGAGTTGAGGCTTTGGTTTCAGTAACTTGTTAGGGATAGCCAGAATCTGGACAGACCCCAGGTTTGTCATATCCAAACACTAGGTCTACTTCTACAATCCCCATCTGTGCTTGTTTGGGGATAAGTCAGCATGGGGATGTCTCATCTACACCATGTGATAGTCTCCCGGGGCCTAAGTATGAGCAATAAGGAGATCTGCCTGGAGAGCTGTATGGTATAACTCCTGCCTTTGGTAGAGCGTAGCAGAAAACACTTTGATAGCATGTGGTGGTCAAAGGCACCTTTGAGAGGCATGGAGTCACAGGACAGTACATTTCCAGGCTGCTTTCTGTTCCTCTTGGAAGGCTGACTTTCTTCTGCCTGTCCTTGAATTTTCCTCACCTTAAACCTTTGCAGTCTTCTACATCCATCCTTGTAAAGTACAGCTCAGCCACCATTACTCAGACAGGGCTCAGCTTGGGTCGGTGTCTCAGACATAAGAGAAGCAGTCCCATGACCTCTCGAACCAACATACCTTGCCTGTGCTCCTCAGGTATATCGCCATTTGCCACCCAATGAAAGCACAGACTGTGTGTACCGTGGCCCGGGCCAAACGGATCATCGCAGGCATTTGGGGGGTTACATCCCTCTATTGCCTACTCTGGTTCTTCTTGGTGGACCTCAACATCCATGACAATCAGCGCCTGGAATGTGGCTACAAGGTGTCCAGAGGCCTCTACCTGCCCATCTACCTGCTGGATTTTGCTGTCTTCTTCATCGCACCCTTGCTGGTGACCATTGTGCTGTATGGGTTCATTGGGAGGATCTTATTTCAGAGCCCATTGTCCCAGGAGGCCTGGCAAAAGGCAAGACACCCCGATGGGCAGGGCGAGGGTGCACCAGGCAGCTGCTCTAGGTCCAAGAGCTCCACGTCCTCCCGGAAGCAGGTTAGGAGTCCCCGTGGGTGCAGGTGGGGGTTGCATGTGGGGAGAATAATAGAGAGAGGCAAACATAAAACACATAGGACATGACCGGCAAAGCAGGTAAATGGAGCAGTCACTTGATCTTTCATTTGCCAGTCCATCCATACATCCCTACATCCACATATATCCATGCATCTATGCAATGCCTGCCCAGCCTTACATATGCCAGGTGGGTGCTAGGGCGCAGGGAGAACATGGAAACTCAGTCAGATGCCCTCCTTGAACTACAACAGTGGAACAAGTAAACACAACCCTGCCCAAGAACAGGAAGGAAGGAAACATAGGAACAAATGATGCTGCAGAGCAGGGGTTCAGGAGGCCTTGCTAAGAGGTGACGAATGGGCAGAGCTCTGATGTTGGCAGGGGAGAAAGTCAGGCTGGTGCAGGGAAGCATTCCAGGAAGAGGAACAGCCAAGCTTGAGGCTGAGGTGGCAACCTGAGTTCTGAGAGATGCCCCAAGTTGCTGGTCTTGGCATCCCTCCTGTCAGCTTGTCCCCATGCTTGGTGAGTGTGTCTCACAGCCATGCCCTCCTGCCTTTCCTCTCCACAGGCCACCAGGATGCTGGCAGTGGTTGTGTTCCTTTTTGCAGTGCTGTGGACCCCCTACCGCACACTGGTGCTGCTCAACTCTTTCTTGGCCCAGCCTTTTCTGGACCCCTGGGTCCTGCTATTCTGCCGCACCTGTGTCTATACCAACAGTGCCATCAACCCTGTCATCTACAGTCTTATGTCCCAGAAGTTCCGGGCAGCCTTCCTGAAGCTGTGCTGGTGCAAGGCAGCCGGGCCACAGAGGCGTGCAGCATGCGTCACTGCCAGCAGCTACAGTGATGTCCAGGAGACCCCACGAGGACCTGAGAAGATGCAGCTGGGCTCTGACGAGGTCTCACATCCCTCAGCAGCTGGGTCCCTGCATTGCCAGCAAGAGCCCCATTTCAGTGTGCTGTGAGGACCCCTGCCTGGCCCCTGGCTCCACTCTCTGTGTTGACTGGCTCACTGGTCTGGTTGATAACTGCTCTGAGCCCTGGTGGAGCGCCAGGAGAGGGACAGATAGCTCATTGTTTATGAGTCATCAGAGGTCCCTTTACCATGAAGGAGGACACTGGAATGTCCTCAGCTGGGTCCTGTGTGAGTAGTTCTCCACTCTGAGTGAGGCTGGTGGGAACAGGGAGGGGGCTGGAGGCTGGAGGTTCAGTCTCACCCCCCTGTATGCTCAAAACTTTTCATCTGTTTTCACTCAGTACTTTGTATCTTTTGGAGTTTATTTTGAAGGAATGTCCTTCCAAGCTTTGATCACTTCTGCCCCTTGGTGAATCCATGTGTACAGGTTTCACATGTGGTCACTGGACAGTGAGGGTTACATAGGATGGGTGTCCCACCCAGTCACACTGGAATCCAGGGCTGTTCCATGATGCTCATCACTGGCCCCGGTTCCCCTTCCAGTCTTCCGTTACAGTGGGAAGCCCTGTAAGAGAACCCGCCAAGCAAGCTCACCCACCACAGATGTTCTTGAAGGACACCATTTGTCTTCAGAACCAGCACCAAGAAACCACCTCTACCTCCTTGGCCCCAGATGTGCAAGCTTGGCTCTCTGGACCCACTCTGCCAGCTGCTGTCCCGCATGCTATGTCTCAAGAGATGTCAGAAAAAGCCTTGGCTGGGAGTCAGTCCCATCACTGCCTACAGGACTGGTGGCTGAGTCTGAGGACAGCAGGCCTCCATTCCCTACACTGTAAATGGGATCAGTGACCCTAACTTGGTCCTGGGACCCCAAAGCTGAGAGACACAGTAGCAAACATGTTTCAACAAGCAAGGGTGGCCACTCTGTGACTGGAGACCTCAATAAGACAAGAATTGGGGGATGCGTGTTGTGTGTGTGTGTGTGTGTCTCTGTGTGTGTGTAGAGTATGTAGTTGGACCAGGTGTGGTCCTAGTGACTCATTCTGCTCTGGGGACCTGGGGTACTCCAAAATAGATGTGGCTTTTTTAGGGGCTCTGATTGCTGAGTCTGATCTGGTGGGGTAGGACATTTAGAGACTCAGGGAGATGAAAGGGCCTTACTGGGGGAAAGCCAACACAATGGTTGGGGGCCACCCAGGGCATCTGGAGCCCTGCCTGAGGCCTCCCCTTGCCATGGCCTCCAGCCTGAGAGGCATGGGTTCTCTAGAAGCTCACACCAAGTTTGCTGCCCCAGGGCAGGACTTGCTCCGCCCTCTTCCTGAGCCAGCTGTTCCTGCCATCCTTTGAGTCCCTTTACCCTGTGTCTTAAGACCATGATGCCCTTTCTTACCACACCCATGTGACATGCAGGTGTCCCCTAGATGATGTGGCCAGACAAACATGATTCCCAGCTCTATTCTGTCTCCTGCACCATTGTCTGAGATCAGAGCTTATGTTCACTGCAAGAAGTCAAATGAGGGAACAAACATGGAGGGATGGCAGGTCAGGTCCAGCCATGGTCTCCCATGCTGCCCGGTCTGCCTGTGTGAGCTGCAGTCACTGCACAGCCCAGATGTGTGACCTCTTTCTATGACTATGGCCTGTACAAAACCTTGCTGGCATCAGACACACCAAACTCACCGTTCCTAGTTAACTGCTCCCTTGAAACGCAGCATTGTCACCAGCCTGGCTGCATGGCATCTGTTGCAGGGTGGAACAGCCATCGCCTCCCGTCACTACAGCTCACACTGGCCTGCACTTGAGTTAAGCCCACGATGCTGACAGCAGGTGGTGGGATCCGCAGGTGTGGCCAATGCCTGCTGACTCAACTCTGTACACTGTCCTTACCCCCATGCCTCCCAATGGCACCTGAGCACTGCCTCTGGCCCTTCCTGAAAACCTCTCTCCCCTAGTGTCACAGCAAGAGTTGGGCCCTTAATGCTTGTACCACCTCAGGAAAGAATTCAAGCAGCTCATGAATAGTAGTAGCAGAAGCTAAACCGAGCTGCGATCCCAGGCCCAGTGAAATTTCACCGAAAGAATGGAAAGCAGTCTAGACAGGAGTCATGAGGAGGGCATTTCCATTGTCCTAAACTTTTTCCTCCCAACCCTAAGGTGAAGTTCTGAAATTTGAAAACCCCAAGAGCCACGTGACTTGCTGTACATTGCACATGTCTCTGACTAGAAGTTACCTGCAAAGTCCATCAGGGGTCAGAGTGGCAATGCCGATGACATAGCTTAGAGGGCTGCAGTTCACTGGGGATAGGGTCTGTCTGGTTGAATCTAGTTCTTTCCTTGTTGTATGCATCAGAGGCAGTTGAAACATCCTTACTCATGAAGCTGTAAGTATAAAATGCTACAATCCCAGAATCCTGAATGTTAACTCCTTGTCCACTCTTGTCTAGCTAATCACTAACGTCACTGTGATTACGTACTTAATGTCACTGTGCATGGGGAAAGAACAGAGTTCCCATCATCTCCAAGTATGGGCAGAGCCACTGGCCATCAGTCTGTTGATGCCTAGTGCTGTGATTAAATGCATGTGTGCCACCATCACTCATCTCTTTTGTAGAGCATGAGATCAGTGGCCACTCCCACTCTTGGCTTGGAATGCTTTGTTTGGCACAATTGCTGGTTGATTGGTGAGTGCTGCCTAGGTGTATGGTGTCCTATTATACTGGGTTTTCTCTGTTAAGTAATGACCTCAGCTCTGATATGGGATGAAGCGGGCCAGCAGCCCCAGGATTGCACTCGTCATGTTTTTTGTTTTGTTTTGGTTTTTTGAAACAGGATTTCTCTGTGTAACTTTGGAGCCTGTCCTGGCACTCGCTCTGTAGACCAGGCTGGCCTTGAACTCACAGAGATCCACTTGCCTCTGTCTCCCGAGTGCTGGGATTAAAGGCATGTGCCCCAGGGTTGCACTGGTCTTATAAAGAATGTGTAGGTGTTTGGCCACTGTGGCCTCCTGCCTCAGAAACAGGCTGCCCAGGATATACTGAACACCCTGGAGAATAAAAACATGGAGTAGACTTCAAGGGTCTAATTGGCCCTGAATCAGAGTTTGCTTTATGCTCACAGCAAGAGCTCTGTCCTGGGAGGCAGCTGAGAACCCATGAATGGAAAGACTGCAGAGAAGGATACGGGAGACGTGAGCCTTCTTCAAGACTGCCTAATGACACACTGACATTTATAACTATATGTTTGCTCATGTGTAATATAAAGTCTTTTACATAAACTGAGCTATGCTTGTAACAAGATTGGACAACCTGTCTTAGGCATGCTTTCCCTGGGATGCCTGTTCCCAAATGTGGGCTCTGGAAGCTTCTCAGGTAACAGCATACTACAGACACCTTGTGTCTCTCCCATGCGACCCAGTCAGGTACATCTATTCAGTCACTAGTCACTCAGGGTCAGCCCTGAAAAATGCTGGTCAATTCTATGACATGATGGCCTTCTCCCCTGAGGAGACTAGGTGCTTGCTCTTCAGAACCATGGTCAAAAGCAGTGTCTGGCAAGAGCAGCTCATGAGTGGAACAGGGAGGGGCAGATGTTGAGGGCTGGAGTCAAGCACAGGAAATATACAAAGCTGAGGGCACCCAACCAGGTGGCCACCTGTGATCTAGTTTGCTGTCTCGGGGGGACGGGGACAGGAAGCCCAGTGCAGCTTGTGGAACATTGCTGGGACAGTGAAGATGACAGCTAAAGGCAGCCAAGGAAGGATACCCCAGGATGAAGCCCAGGGTAGAGGCTCACGGAGGAGAGGGCAGCAGCCCTGTACCAGCCACTAATATCGAAAGCAGATGGTGGTGTCTGGTTTGACTCCTCTAAAACCAACTGGAACGGAAGACAGAAACAGCTGCTGTTCTGGGAAGGTGATGATTTGATTTGGGAGGCAGGGAAGGAAGAAAAGTGAATAAAAGGTACAATACGGAGACAGTCACACCTGACTTGGTACCACTGGGGACCTTATGTACAGCTGTGAGGTTTGTCCTCTGCATCCTCCTCCCAAGGACAGATGCCATTTGCCATGATTCCCATTGGTTGATGACTGCCCTGGGTATCAAACCTCTATTCTTGTGACCTCCATCCTGTGGCAGAGAAGAACCAAGTGACTTAAGTTCTGGGCACCCACACATAGCAATGGGTTGGAGTGGGGTGGGGTAGGTGGTGGGGCACACAGAGAATCCACCACAGACATGGCATCATTGAGGCCCTCAGAGCACACTGTCCTTGATCTTCAGTGCAAGAGACAGGGAACTATGTGGACAAGACACCATGTTAGAACAGAAACTGTCCAGGTGGTGTCAGTGTGATGATGGCTGCTCAGGGAGTGAGGCCCTTAATGGGTGTCCCCTAAGCAGCTTGTGAGTTACGTGGATGCACCAGGAATAGAGGTTCAGCTCCCCTATACGGAGTATAGAAAGCTGGGCTCACATAAGTCAGGCCCACTAGAGGAGACCTACTGCATTGAAGACCGGCAGATCAAAGCTCCCATTTCTTTACTGGGAAACCCAGACCCCAGGAAGGGAGAGAACTTGCCTCTCTCTAATATATATAAATATAAATAATATAATACAAATTTAAATTAGAAACAATCTTGTTTTACATATCAATCCCAGTTCCCTCTCTCATCTTATTCCCCATCCACTCCCCAGGGAGGGTGAGGCCTCCCATGAGGGATCATTAAAGTCTGTCTCGTCATTTGGGGGAGGGCCTAGGCTCTCCTGTGTTGCTAGGCTGAGAGAGTATCCCTAATGGGAATGGGCTCCCAAAGTTCATTCGTGCACTAGGGATAAATACTGGTTCCACTGCCAGAGGTCTCATAGACTGCCCAGGCCTCCCAACACCCACCTTCAGGGGGCCTGGTTCAGTCCCACGCTGGTTCCCTAGCTGTCAGACTGGGGTCCGTGAGCTCCCACTTGCTCAGGTCAGCTGTTTCTGTGGGCTTTCCCAGCATGGTCCCAAACCCTCTGCACATCACTCCTCCCTCTCCACAACTGGACTCCAGGAGTTCAACTCAGTGCCCAGCTGTGGGTCTCTGCTTCTGCTTCCATCAGCCACTGGGTGAAGGCTATAGGATGACTTGCCTGTCTCTTAGCAATGCTGTCCTGGTTCCCATTGTTTGAAGCTTGGAAGAGTAACAGTCCATCATGGCCAGATCCCCAAGGGGCACAGAGGCTTCTCTGCTGGTCAAGTTGAAACTGCATCTACACAGCACTGTGGCAGGTTTTGTAACTCCTGAAAGTGATCAGGGTTCCCAGTCTCTGTAGGTGGTTACGGGAAAGATTCCACATCCTGTCCTGGCCCTGAAGGTGCCCTTGACCCAGGATGCAAAGGTCAAGGTGGGAGGAGCCCAAGGGTTCAGACACAGGATACCAGGAAGTACACTTCTAGTTCAAGTGAAAACCAGAAGTCAGACTGAGTGCGAGTTGCTCGTGCTGTCCTGCTGACTGGATTCAACACTGAAAAAGCCACTTAGGGGAGGCAGTGACCAGGGGACCCCACTTTAAAATAATAAGGAGGGGATGAGAAGAGGTGGGAAGGAGGGAGATGAACCAGGGATCCTCCAATAGGTTGAGGGATCAGGAGGTTGTGAGAAGCAGGAGTGACTGAGGGAGAAGGAGCCCTGCACACACACACACACACACACACACACACACACACACACACACACACACACACACACACATACACACACGGTACTGAAGAGCCACAGGCCTGGCATGTAAGCGTCCTCAGTTCTCACTTGTGTTCCTACCAACTGCTTGAGACACCAGCTGCCTGCCACCTCTAGACGCTGCTTTCATGTCTTTTTTATTAAGGATCTCTCACACAGTCCAGATAAAGGACAAAGAAACCACTTCTCACTTCCCACTGGGTGTTTGGTCCCCACCTACCTCCAATTGAGGCTTGAGTTTGTAGACTCTACTCTGCAGACCCCCCCCACTGACTCTGCCACACAACCTCTGCCTAAGCTACGGCCCAGCCCGCTGTTTCTCTGTTCCTCACAGCATTCCATTTCACATGCGCATAAATTATCTTTTAATTGAAAGTTTATAAGCTCTTTAATCTTGCTTATTGTAGCTGAGATGATGTGTGTTTGTACAGCTTTATTGAATAATGAATGTCCTTGCCTCTCAAATGCCCATTTAGTTTGCTTTGCAGTGGCTGTGTGGGAGGTGGGGTGGGGGTGGGGGTAAAAACTCTACATCTGCAATGCTTAAAAATTGTGGCTTTAGGGGCTAGGAGGATGGCTTAGTTGGTAAGATGCTTACCACACAAGCACAAGAAGCTCAGTTCAGATCCTCAGCACCCATGAAAAAGCTGGGCATGTTGGTGCATATCTGTAATCCCAGTTTTGGGGAGGGAGAGGCAGGAGGATTGCTGGAACTCACTGGCCAGCCAGCCTAGCTGAATCTGGGAACTCTAGATCTCAGTGAGAGTCTTTGTCACACACACACAAATAAGTCGGGGAGATCTGGAGAGCTAGCCCAGCCATGAAGAGCATTTATTGTTCTTGTAGAGGCTCTGGGTTCAGTTCCCAGCACTTGCAGAGAGGCTTGCTACCACTTATAACTTCAGTTCCAGAGAGTCTGATGCCCTCCTCTGACCTATGTGGGTATTGCATACACACATGCTCAGAAAAACATGTAGACAAAGCATTCATACATATAAAATAAAAATAAATCTTTTTTGTTTGTTTTTTGAGACAGGGTTTCTCTGTGTAGCTCTGGCTGTCCTGGAACTTGCTCTGTAGACCAGGTTGGCCTCAAATTCAAGGATCCACCTGCTTCTGCATCCTGAGTGCTAGGATTAAAGGTGTAGGCTACCACCACCCAGCAAAAAGAAATAAATCTTAAAGAAGAAAAAAAAAAAAGACTGGTTATGATGCAGGTAATGGTGGCGCACACCTTTAATCCCAGCTCTCAGGAGGCAGAGGCAGGCAAATCTCTGTGAGTCTATAGAGAGAGTTCCAGGACAGACTTCAAAGCTAGACAGAGAAACCTTGCCTTGAACAACAACAGCAACAAAAAAGTGGTTAATCCAGAATTTGCTTAAAATAAAAAAAACCCCACAAAACCCAGCAGGTGAGTAGTGATCATGGAAGACATCAGACTCCAGCTTCCACATGCAAACAACACAAAAGCAGTGATGACATTGTGAACATTCAGGGTTTGTCAAGATATTCTCTCACTCTCTGTTCTATGGGGTCTGCGGTAATCTACAGAGCTTGTCTGGACTGTCCTCCAGTGTTCTGTCTCTGGGAGCTCTGCCTCTGACACACAAGACAACGGCTCCACATGAACAACGGCAGTGCATGGTAGAAAACTCCAAAAACAAGACAAACAAACAAAAAAACCAGGAAAAAGCCAGATGGTGTGGCGCACATCTTTAATCCCAGCTCTCAGGAGGCAGAGGCAGATGGATCTCTGTGAGTTTGAGGCCAGCCTGGTCTTCAACGTGAGTGCCAGGATAGGCTCCAAAGCTACACAGAGAAACCCTGTTTTGAAAAACAAAACAAAACAACAAAGAACAAGGTGTACCAAGAGACAGCTGAGGTACATGGACTGGGTGATTCTCCTCTCACATTTCCCTGGTAGGACACTCCAGTGACCTTGGCTTACATTGCAGCTCTGGTTTCCAACCCTCTTTGGTAGGCTCAGGACTGAGGCCAGTTCTTTTGCCCCCTGTGGTGGTGTTTGGTGACCTCTGTTGGCACTTTGCCTCACTGAGACAAAATTGTGACAATGTGACTAGGACTTGTAAGATAATGGGTTGAAACATTAGCAATGTAGCAAATACTTCAGTTACTTTGTTTTACAGTGCTGGGGAGGAAACCCTGGGCCTTTGTGCTGTGTGGCAAGCACTGTAGCACTGAGTCACAAGGCAGCCCCCAGAAAACTTTGCAGAGGAAACCTCAGCTCATGAGCCGCTACCTAGGCAGCCTCTCTCATCTAAGCCGCACTCCCTGTTGTGCCAGGTATGAACAAGAGTGGTCACTTGACTGGGACCCAGCCTGTGAGAAATCCAGGTGTAGGATGCCAGCCCTGCTGTGTGGCTGTTCTCCTGGCTGAGCTCAATGTCACATGACTCTGGGCTGTCAGCAAGCTAAACAGGATAGGAGATGAATCCCAGGACCGCCTCTGAAGGTTACACCGGCTCTGAGAGGGCCAGCTCAGCTTTTTGCTGACCATTGCTAAGGACCACTGTCCCCTGCCTACCTTGTCCCA